AAACCAATCACTAATATAAATCCTTAAATAAACAGACGTCTCCAAGACGACTTTTTCTTTTATTTTTCTTTTTTTTTCTACATCCCACTTGAGTCCTTAATGGCACCCATTGACATCAGTGTTTTCGGCGCACACAAGGCAACAGAATGGACGCAACAACACCCATGTTTCTCCGCGATCTGTAAAAGTGAACTTTTGGTGTCTGGGCGCTTTTTCCTGGTGCCTGGGTATATTTCACAGCCAGTAGGCCTTTTTTTTTTTCCTTTCGCCTGATATGTCATTTTAATACGTCAGATCACGCCCCTTTTCCGTTTCATGTGCTGAATGTTCCATATTGTTTTGCCCAAATTCAGAAAAGTGAAATTTAATACCACCATCTTAAAGGTTTTATGATCTTTAGATGTATGTCATCGCCCGACAAGGCTGCCATCAGAGAGGTGTCTCTGTGGTTGTATCCAAAGGAGCCACGGGGGACTTTTTCCTGAAACGAGACGAAAGAAAAAAAACTGAAATCAGAATGTCGATTTGATTTTTGTGATAAATATCCATTAAAAGTATATTTTGTCTATGCTAATTCTTAGTTGGGCCATTCTGTTCATGCGTCCTGACAAGGAGAAATGCGTTGGTGTATACAACGTTATGTGTTATTTTCTGTGGCGTCATTGTTAACTGTGCCAAATGACATGAGGTTCTATGAACTACAACACAAATTTTTCAAATACACAGAATGTAACAAAAATAACATAACTAAGATGTGATTAAGATGCAACGCCCCAAAGTAAGAAAACACGTGTCCCGCGTGGCAAATAAAGACGGGAAGATATAATTTTTTAAAATCACAATGAAAATGGCTTAATTTCTACCTTAAATTTTCAGCTTCTTCTATTGTTTCTGGGAGCGGGCAGTTCGCGGTTTCTGGTAACGCCAGCGCCATTATACCCGCCACAACGGAAGCAGCTCCAAAAATAACGAGGGGGATGCTTTTCCCTAGCACGACATCGGCAGCTATCTCATTCTGAAAAAGTTTGGGGAATTTTTATAAATGTCATCGTATGTAGTTTGTGGGTGAACGGCGGAGCACGCCCGTCCCTTTCCCATAGCTATGGTTGTTTCTAAGATCCAACAATCACAATTATTTTATGATAAGCTACCCCCCTCCAAAAAAATTAATAGGTAAAAATAAAAGAAAAAAATTACTATAAACAAGTGAAACAAGACAAAACCCAGATGTTTTCACTTGTTTTCCAAACATTTTACAATAAATGTTGTTTGTCTACTTTCTTATATTTGCCTCACATTCTTCGGTTATTCCGTTTCCTTGTTCCCACTCCCTTCCCTTCCCGATTTGAGCGAAACCCTAGACCTGCCAGTAACACTTCTCCGTCACGTTTACCACAAGTGTTCTGCCACAGCCAGCACAATTCTACATCACAAACTTTTTACCAAGGAGGTTTTTGGTTCCGTTAGAAAGTTGGTTAGTTGGTTAGTTTGTTAAACAACCTAATGCAAAAAGTTTTGGCAGATTTTGATTAAATTTCCTGGATAGTTCAGAATTGGGCAAAGGAACAATGTTAAAATTTTGGTGCTGATCCATTTATTAATTGAAGACTTTTAAATTGAAATTATTAGTTCATAATTTGTCTTGGCGGAGGTCCGCTTCACACGGACCCGTTATCAACTTTACGCCAGGGTTCACACTTACAACAATCACGGGAGCCGTCATGCCGCCCACCCTGCCCATCGTGTTGCAGAACCCCATAGCAAAGTTCCGAAGCACCGTCGGGAATAACTCCGCTGTCCAGATGAAGACGATGGCGAAGGCGACCGTGGAGCCAAATTTGGCGATAAGGGTGAGGCAAACGATAGACCACTTGTATGCTTCAGTGCCTGAAAGATAACCAAAAATTTTAATCTACATGTACCTCTGTCTTAACATTTGACATTGAGGGAATATTGGTGTGATTTTTTTCCAGAAACCGAAGAGGGGGGGTGTCAGGACCCCCCCCTCCCTTCTAAATCCGCCACTGATAAGGTCGCAATCATGCTCCGCCGCTCTATCTCAGTTTGCCAGGTGTTAATATTTATGTAGGCAGCTGAGTAGAGTGTGTTAGGTGAGACAGTTACCTGAATGCGTTGCGATGTGATGGACACCTAACACATTGTCCTAGCACACCCACACAAAGTAAGATCTCGCCTCTGGGTTTCTCTGAGCATGGAAACACATTGTATAAGGTTTACTTTCATGGTCTATGAGAACATTTTGGTACAAACTGATCCAGAGTTACGAACTGAATTATGAATTTTCTAAAAATTCCGTCAAACCCAGTCTTGCAGCTGTGCTACATTTTCGAGATAACGCTATATAATTTGTTTAGGCCTGAAGAATTTGTTAATTTTGCGAATGTGATTTCACCACAGCACTGATCTTCACGCGGGTTATTACTTTTTTTGCAAATCCAATGAAACAAATTTTTCTATAATTCCGTCGGACTTGTGAATGAAATGGCGTTAGAGCAACCTCTAGGAAAGTAACTGGTTCGTAACTCAAGTTCATAAAACATATCTGTATTAATAACTTTGAACATCTACCTTTCTCAGCGTACACTTCAACGAAAATAGTGCACAGTAACGCCAAGCCTCCCACCACCATCCCTGCTATATGAAGCCGTTTTCTCCCCAGCCGGTCTATGACGAAACATACGCTGTAAGCCGGGAATTCCACTAGGCCTATGATGAGAAAGTTCACGAACACATCTCCTCCAATTTTCCCACTGTTCAGGCTCAGGCCGAAATAGACCATAGAAACGACAAACCTGGAAAAGATTATATTATATTATTACATTTCAATTGAAATAATTTAGTTTTAAATGATTGGTGAGTCACTCATAACACCAAGAGGGACCCATTTTCGTTACCCGTAAAAGCCATTTTTATGTCCCGAGATGCGTGAAACGTTCATTTTGTTTAGCGTGATTCGTGAAGTATCCCAGTAACAAAGATTAAGCCAGAAAACTGAGTTTAGATTTTTATTGTGAAACAGGGGCCATTTCAAGAGGAAATATAACATCGGGTACTTTTAGATATTCTATACATTTTAAGGTCTGAAGTGCGAAATATGAGTAGCTTGACAGGTAATTCAGGCACGGTAAATATGAATTTGGGACATTTTTAAAGCGGATAGTATATATACCTTTGAGCAAGCACCAGCTTCTGGCCCTAGTTTCACAAAAAAAAAAATTATGTCAGTTCCCTGGTTTAGTTGACTAGGATTTCCATGAAAGTGCTGGTACACTGCTCCTGATAGGATAAGATATGCCCATGTGACCATGTAACCTTGGTAATTAAGTTCTTGGCCAGGGAACCTGACTTAAGTCTTTTTGTAAAAACGGGGCGTGAATATTTTTTCTCTCAACTCACCAGTTCAACGCAACGATAAAAAGCGTCGTGAAAAGTCTACGTGAGTGAAGAATGTTCACAGGACTGGCGGTTTGACCTTCATAAACGCTGATATTTTCAAAGATATCCTCTGGGAGTTTGGCCCGATTTATTTTTGCCGCGTGTTTCAGTATACGCTCTGCCTCGTGTCGCTGCCTTTCCTTCCCGCTCGCCAGAAGCCATCTTGGAGACTCGGGTATTAACCTGCATGGTAGGGCGTAGATTCAATTTATGCATGCATTAATCGGGCATAAATGATATGTTGTCTGTGTAAAAGTAAAATTGCATATATAAACCATTTGCGAATCAAATATGTAACTTTCTTTTATTCTAAATATTTCCAATATTTTTCCTTTTACAAAATACTATGCACGCTTGACTTAAATATACAGTTTATGACAACCTCTTTTGACAATAAAGTTGTTACTTTTGTTAAGAAATCGCAGCTCTGATGAACGATTATATCTAAAAACGTATGTCATATAGGCCTATAACTCTCACCCTGAAGTTATTTAAAATAGTTGGATTGTAAAATATTATAAATTGTTAAATTCACTTAAAGAGAATATGATAAATAAAAGTGTTAATTAAAAGTGCTTACATGAAAATTTTTTTTGTGTAACAGTGAGCTCACTTTTTTAACAATAAACTAACTTACCACCAGTAACTAACGAATACAAATGACGGCGCAGATATGGTTGCTATGAGATGGCGCCAGTGACGTAACGTGTAGGCTAGTCCCGTGACCAACACGTATCCCGCAGCAAAGAAATACTCAATCACTATCCCTACTAGCATTCGTTTGGACGGACCAACTAGCTCCATCGCTGTGTGAGGAAAAAAAACAAATAGGATATACAGTTACAATGGAATTATGGAATCCAGGATGTACAGTAGGAGGGGCTGGAGGATAATAATAATAATAAT